ACTTCGGGCGTTATTTGCGTCTGCCGTTAGATTTGTTACGGGGCTCTCCGCCGAATTACTGTTCAAGTTCTTCGGAAGTTTATAGTCGTGAGTTGAAGTCGAAACTAAAGGAAATCCATCAGGATGTTAGAGAGCGTTTAAAAATGAGATCAAACAAGGCAAAGATGCGATACAATTGGAAAGCTAAACGTTCTTTTTGATGTCAGGCAAAAAGTTTGGTTTTTTAATCCTCGCAGAAGCAAGAGGAAAGCTCCTAAGTTGCAAAAAAAATGAGAGGGGCCTTACGTGATCTTTAAGAAATTGAGTGATGTGGTATATTGTATTTGTCGCTTGGATAGGCATAGAAGTAAGGTGGTGCATGCTGATAGGTTGGCTTCGTTTTGCGAAAGGTGGGAGCACGCGTCGGAGTCCCGTGTAGATTAATGGGGGGAGTATTTGTTTTATTTGTTTTTGTGTTTAGATGTTGTGGGTACTTGTTTTTTTTAAGCATAGTTACTCGTTTAGTTTTCTTTTCTTCAGTTATACCTCCGTTGCTACCCCGACTCTTTCCGTTTTGTCGTTGGACGTTGGGGGACATCTGCGTCGTGTCGAGTCGTTGCAAAGTCTACGTCATTGAAATCATGCTTCAAGTCCGTCTTACTCACGGTTTTGAACGTGGTTTTCCGTGGGTCTTTGGGTAAATATCGAGGCAGGGACTTGAGGTGTTTTTTTGAACAATGGGTCTACGTGAGTTTTTTCCCCTTGTCTGAAGTTGGAAGAATTTTGTGGACACAGAAATTGCCCCGAAGGGGATTCTCGGAAAGAGTTTCTCCGGTCAACTTGCTCATTTATTCTGGGATACCAGTCTGGAAGAGAGCGGGAAAGTTGACTTCCTTTTGATCATCGGGACGATAATCTAGAAGAGAGAGAAGTCAGTGTTGCAAGATGCGGCGCGTGTCGTCCACGCGGTATAAGAAGATGTTCGTCAAACGATCGATCGCTTTAGATGCTTTTGTTCGAGTAGCAACGGGGTTGTTCACGGCGAGGTTCAAACGAGAAGTTTGAAGCCAGACTCAAAATCGACAAGAAACTGGATCAACGGTTTGGGATTTCCTTGCGCTTTTGCCGCGGCTTTTGTAACGCGTTTGTTAATAAAGTTCTTGTGAGATATACGCGGTGTTACTTTCTTTCCGCAAAGCGCAGCAACGCGACAAAACGCGGTCATGAGCGCAACAATATATTTACTTTTTTAAAGTGTTTAACTTTTATTTATATAATTCAAATAATATATTATTTAATAATAAGTTTTACGATTCTTGAAATTCAAACAACGTAAAGTTGTCAGTAAATAAATGGCATACGCTAAATGTTTGTCGCGTACTTTGTTCATATACACAGACTGTCCCAAAATTAGTGTACCTCTTATAAACAAATAGAAGAAGTTAAACGGAGTCAAAAAGTTTTATACCATTTTGCTTGATTTGCAATAGTTACCGAGATCTTAAGTAACAAATATCAGTGAATAAGGAGACCGTGTTACTCGTAGCAACATGTGGGAGGAGTTAATATAACAGCATATATTATAACATTTACCATAGAGAAGCCTGAGAGCGGCCACAGCCATAAAAGTTTCTGCGATAGCTTTTTGTAACCATAGTTCTATTCCGTGCAAAGTTTGTAGACATAGTTCTATTTCGTGCTATGAGAAAACCGACGTGGTGAGGATACGCACACAAGCGAGTACCGTCGTCATATATCAACATACTATGTCTGCACTCTTTCACAAGCGCACACGGACAACGGTCTCGCTTGTGTGCGTATCCCCACCACGTCGGTGTTTTCAGAGCACGGAATAGAACCATGTCCACAAACTTAGCACGGAATAGAACCATGTCCACAAAAAGCTATCGCAGAAACTTTTATAGCCGTGACCGCTTTCAAGCTTCTCTCTGTTTATATTTTAAGAACAAAATTAAAAAGAAGAATAGTTATATTATCGACACGACGTAGTCGTGAACATAGACGTAGAATATATAGACTGCACGTTTGGCTAAAAAGATGTTTTTATGGTTGAGAGAGACAACATACTTTGAATAGTAACTTGCTCTCTGTCTATCAATGTCTGTAGGATCAGGGCTTACTGTTTTATATCACCTAACCTGCCAATACCCCCTCCCCTTAATCTCTTTCACTCCTCTTCGCCCCCACTATTTTTCTATCCCCACTTTTCCACTACTATTCTATCAATCAGCAAATACTTCTTTTTCCCCCACTACTTCGCTAGACAAAGATGAAGCTACTATTTAACACCAGCTGTCTCTCTCAACGTTGAAGACATTTTCTTAACATGGCAAAGGTAGGGAACGCGCAGTCTATACATTCTACGTCTATAGTCGTGAACAACCAATTGCTACTATTTAGTTCGTACGGCGCTCGTTGGCGCTACGAGTAACTGCTCCGCTTGCCCTCCAATCCCCGCGCCTACTCCGCAAATTTGTGACGCCGTCTGTACATATTTAAATGTAATTGTGCGAAGCGCGTCGGGCTGTCCTACGCTCGTAAGACAGCCCGATGCACGCCTGCTCGCAAATTTTTGTTAATTAAGATCTCGGTAACTATTGCGAAGTTAGCATAATTATAGGACTTATCGACTCAGTTTTACCTATCTACGAGAGATATTACACCAATCCTAAGACATCTTGTATATATGTTCGTGTAAATTTGTACGCAAGTTTTAAATAAAAATTGCACCTTTTAAAATCATATAGAATGCTATATTTGCATCACATATATGTTATTCCTTAACTACATATCTTAACTACTATTCCTTATCTACTTTTAAAATATTGCAAAACAATTCTTCGGCCTTATCTAAATATTATCTTACCTAGCTACTACTATCTTTTTCAGATAATTTTATATTTTACAGATATTATTATCTATTTCAGATACTATTATCTTTTTCAAATACTTGTATTTCTTTCAGGAACTTTTATCTTTTACAGATATTATTGTCTTTTTCAGATACGGTTTTCTTTTCAGATACTTTTATTTTTTTCAGATAATTTTATCTTCTTCAGATACTGTTATTTTTTTCCAATACTGTTGCCTTTTTTGAATAGTTTTCTATTTAGTTAAATAAATTTATCTTTTTCTAGATAAAATCATATCACTTAGGAAAAATTATTGTTTTTAAGATAAAATCATCTTATTTAAATTAAACTTATTTTTTTTAGATAGAATCATATTTTTTAGCTAACATCACCTAATTTAAAATAAAATCATCTCTTTTTTTAGATACAATTATCTTTTTTAGAATAAAATTATTAATAGTAAAAGCATGTATTTGTTACGTCTTGGCTCACGGTTACGGTCGGGCTATGGTGAAGTAACAGAGAGCTGTCGTTTCTCTTTCTATCTCCGCACAGCAGATTGGTAATCCCGCTGTGGCAGAGTCGAGCGGGTTTGTGTGCTCTCACGGACAGGTCAACGGGATATGCCGCTCTCACTCTGTCTTATGAGGCCCCACTTGTCGGTCTCTTTTTAAGTCTGGAGAATTAACTCCACGGACTAAGGACGAGACCGTGCAATCGATTGAGGATGTGGAATGATGAGAGGTCGTCTTAATTAAACGGAAAAGATTATGATGCGTACAATATTAATTTATTCATTTAGGGGTTGGTGTTACAATGTTTAGAATGTGATATCGCGAATTTTACATTAAAGCGGAGGGTCATTGCTCGGAGGCTAGAGAGGGGGAATAAAATATATATGTGTGTATGAGTAACGCGAGGATGTGTGTGAGGGGCCTCCGGCGGGGTTTTACAGGTGTAACTGTGTCGGGTGCATGTTTAAGGCGCCGATTCGTGGTATAGAGATCATTCCAGATCTATTTCGATTATTTCATGCATTTTGACAGAACTAGGGTGGAATATAGTATAAAAATGGTGGATGGGAACTAAACAGATGTTATCTATATAAGGAAATTTGACTGGGCGGAGTTTTCTGGCTGGAGTGGTGGTTATCACCTGGAAGATGTCGGAAGAATCTGTTGTTAGAGGGTCAAGGATAAAGGGGATTCTTTCCAGATTTGCTTTTTTGTAAGTTGAGGCTAATCGGAGGAAGTGTTGAAATCTAGGATCGAGCGGAGGGGTGGTTGATCGTGTTGAGTCGGAGAATTGATCATTCGCTGGTTCATCTCTGGATGTAGATGGTTCAGGGGAAGGAAAAAAGGAGAGTATTGTCTTTTCGATTACGCCGCATAGACCCTTTGTTGTTTGTTTATAATAAAAATGCCAGAGTTTCTATTTGCGCTGGCCGCTCTAATTTTTATGACCGACGTTTTCATGACCCGGAGATATCCGGGTTTGTTTGGAAAGCTGCTCGAATAGTTATCTAAAATTTTGTGTTATTGCCAGGCGCAGTTTATCTTTCCGGGCGCCGATATAATTTTTGTTTGCTTTCCTATCGTCTGGAGTTTTAAGTTTCCAAACGATAGGAGACCCGTTCGAGTTATTTATTATTATTGACAAAAAAAGGGTTCGTTATGCGCTGGCGCGTCGCGTTGTAGAAAAAAGGGGACCGTGGAGTCTCCAGGACGTAACATATTGTTATATCAAATGCTACTTTGACATAAACTGTATACAGTTTTATGAATTCTTAACACAAACCTGATTTATTAAAAAATGTTAATTTTTATGAAAAGTATCAAGATTACATGTTTTTAAGAAATACTATTTTTTGACAATGTATTTTTTTAAGTAATACTATTTAAGTATTATATATTATTTCAGTAATATATTGTTTAAAATTCTATATATTACATATATATACTTATATTTTATAATAAATACTATAAAGCTTTTTAATTTTAGTATAACAAATAAACTTGCTTTTTTTTCTTGTAAAACAATTTCTAAATTGTCCTTTATTTTGTGCAAAAAAATATGGTTGTCGTAGCTATATGAGAAACAATTTTACTATTTCTTTTTACATTTATAAGTATCACGTTACAAATATTACATAAGATAGATTAGTCGATGTTCATATATAAAGGTCTTTGGTTTCCATTTAAAAAAATCAATATTATTACTAGTTAATTTATTTTTAAAAATACATAAACGCGATATTGCGTAGTGTGTATATATATACATTTATACACACTACGTGCATAAAAGATAAAGTATGCCCATAACTAAAATTGTTTTTCCTTTTTAGAACATTCCTACAATATATAAAAGTGTTTTGTAGTCTTACACTTAAATATGTATTAATAAAAATAAAACTGAGTTTTTTGTACAACACAAAAAAGTAAAATATTATCAAAAATTAATCGAGATTTTTATTTACTTATTTTTTTCCACAAGTGGTTTCACTGAACGATCCGATGATTCCGAAAGTTATGCGAGATCATTATACGCAGAGTCTATTTCATATACAGCCTCGTCTAATATTTCTCTGATTACTTTTATATCTTTTATTACTGCTTTATCAACCAATAGAGACAGATTTAATTTGCCTTTGTAAGTACTTAGACCTAAGGACAATCCAATTGTATTTCTAAAAATATAAATTGTAATATATGTATATATATGCATGTACATAGATTTTATATATTATATATAAGAATGGTTTTACAATCTCTAAAATATTTCTATTTTTTTTTACACGTAAGTTAAGATAAACGATAATAATGATATACTATACTTGTTCGGCATCCAGAACGCCATGTTGCTTAAAAGATGATTCTGAACATAAAGTTTTTTTTGTATTCCTTTTATATTGCTAAATATCATTGTGGGATTGTAAGTTGCAATAAAAAGTCTTATAATTTCAACCGGAAAAATTCCAAGTAAATGTTTAAAGAAGAAAAAATTTAACGGTGCTTCTAAGCTATTTCTAATTTTGTTATTTATTATTGTAGTTCTCTGAAGACGTTCAAAGAACCGAAAGTTTTTATGTGACGTTAAAACATCTTCTCTATCCGCGTTAACAAAACAACTATTAACTATATTAAACGAAACATCATTGGTCAGTACTAGGTTGTCATTAGACAGAGAGAGTCTTCTTGGTATCAGCACTGATATTGCATTAGGTATTAATTCCTTCATCTGCAACAAAGATATACACTTTGTTTCATATTTGTACATATGAAGAAATCTTCTACATATAAAGAATTCATTTTGGCGTCATTTAGCACAATTAGTATTGATTATACTTACGCGTGAATAATATTTAATTATCCCAGCAGCAAAAGCTGTTAATATTATGTCATTAACTTTTGCTCCTGTACACTGTCTTATTTTTCTAATTTTTGTCAGAAGCTGCGATTTATCGGTATCGTTTTCCAAACGATAAACTGTAAGTTTCTCACCCGTTAAAGGCCAACCATGAAGAGAGCTACAAGATTAACTCATTATGTTATAAAACTTAAAATATTTTATCTAAATATCATGACAGACGATTTGATGAACATCAGTTTTATGAAGTTAGTATTTACATACGTAAAAATTAGATTTTAAACATTACACATTTTGCATATTGAAAAACTTTATATAATTATATTTCAGAATATATTATTTTATTTACGTATTTTAAGATATTTAAATATCGACGTATTTAAATACTGACCTTTTGCCATCCATACAACGAACAATTTGAGAGACATAGATTTCTAGAGAAAACAATATAAATATTACTTTTTTCATAATTTCTTTAATTGTGTTATATACTTTTTTCAAGTTTAAAATAATTTTTCTTTTTGGAAAAGTTTCTTTCTCCTTAAAATAGTTTTCTTTAGCTGTCAGGGCGCTGTCCTTGGGTTCTTCCAATATTGTCGACAGTTCATTTGTGATTTTTTCGTCGAGATAGACATTAAGCAACTTGAATAAAGCTTTACCATCACCAAGAGAATGATGAACGCGAAATATTACAGGAATTTCGTCTACATCAGTATTGAAGCTGTCTTGAGAAGACAAGCTCGGATCCTCTTCAATGTAAGATCTGAATTTTGAACAACGTCTGCCAATGAGCATTTCCCACATCGGTTTGTGTTCATCATACAACGGTCTGTTGCATATAAAACCTAGATTTTCTTGAAAGGTTGTACTGTGAACATTCTCGCAAGATCCATCGCAATTACTGATTTCACACTCTAACCATCTAATCGCGGTTTCTGGATTAAATTCTTTTGATTTCTTCCAATAAAAGTAACCAAATTTTTGATACCTATAGTAAAACAGTTTTTCGATACTTTTGGGGACATTCTTAAATACGTGATTAAAAAATAGTCTTGCATCTTTCAGAAAGGTCGTATTTGTACTTCCTGCGGTTTTCTTGACTATTAATACGACAGTAATCAAGGGTAAAGATGTATCTTTGACGGACCAAATAGCATCTGATCCTTCCAACAGACCGGCAAATTTGTCTTTAAGTTGAATTCTTAGCACAGTTTCCACCCAACAACGGTAGATATATAAAAACATCAAAATGGTGATAAGAAACGGAGCAAGCAATAAAAAACAAACAATTCCTAAGAATTTTCGAATTACTATTTGACATGTTTTACTTAATATTTTAGATTGCATCTCGTTACAATGTTAAATTGTCAGTTAAATTGAAGACTGCTGCAACTTGGATATATTTTACTCTTGTAATATTAATTAATTTTAATATATGTGTAAGAATGATTTTTTCTTTCCATAAGAGAGCTCCAAGTAGTTACGTCTTCAAGTAGTTACGTCTATTACAAGTAGAAAAAAGCTGAAATCCACAACCCTGAAAATAAGTTTTTTGTATGTTTATTTTAGATAATAGCTTTTCTTTAGATAACGTAAAAAATTACTGAGAGTTTTAAAAATAAGTGTTCTGTGGTTATATATATATTGATTTTTTTCAAGATAAATATATCAATTTTACTTTCTTTGTATTATTTTTGTACTTTGTATTTTATGATGCAAAGAGAATATTTAAAAAACTGTAAAATAGTGTAGGTATTTATATTCTTTCCCGACCACCTATAAATTTTAATAAAATGGATTCTATAAATCTAAAAAAGTTACGAGTTTTCTACACAAAGATTTATTTTTCTCTTTACTTAGCAATTTATTTAATGTTGAAATTGTTGATGTAACGCAAAAAGTATCAACATCATGTTGAAAATATAGTACACTAGGCAAACATATACATGTGCGTATGAGATTATCGTGTGTGGGTTATCTTGTTGAAATAGATAATGGATGCTTTCTATTTCATACATATGCGTACATTTATCTATAGTACATGTTACGTATACTATAGATCATGCGCGCTCATCCATGAAACGAAATGTGTCTAATAATTGTGGAACCGCTCCAATCGTTTTGTACATAATCTTTATGTTTGTATTATATTCTTGTTTCTCTCTTGCAAAATCACTCTGTTATCACAAAAATTCTAGTTTGATCTCTTACACACTACCGACAAGATCTAAGATTCAACATGTGACTATAATGATGTTTTTTAAGTTTTAGTTTTTGTTTCAATAAACGCAGTAATGTATCAAGTGTTGTATAGTCATCAAGTTTCAAACTCTTTCTTTAATTCTATTCAGTTATTGATCGCTTTTTAATTTAATGCCCGGTAAAAAATTTTTGATATATACCCCGATAGCTAAATAATAGCAGTATGCCAGTAGTATGTACGCAGATGTAATCAGCACTTTGCAACAGATTCCACTCAGCTGTGTCATCATAGTGAATGAATTATGTAGGCACGATACGTAAAGAAAACAACACAGCAAAAATATATAAATAAATGAAGAATAAAATAACAATAGCACGTTATGCTTCAAATTTGCTACATTTTTTCAAAGCAAATTCTGCTTGATCAATGCAATAATATTTGTATCACGGCATCCTTTACGAAAAAGAATTACTGGCAGTAATATATTGCGGCAATGGTACAAAAGAATTACTGCTTGCCAGTAATATTCGCAGTGATTCCTGTAATACCTGATAATATTCGTGTGTGGTTGTCAGTAATATTTATATTACTGACTTTATTTATATGTAATCACCAAGAGTTCTTTTTTGTAAGGGATGACACATTCAGTCTGTCACACAAGAGCATCGTCGAGTGGCATTCACTTAGACACCGTTCAATTGGACACGTTGCAATTGGACACGTTGCAAATAGACACAGAATTTTAGACACGGTTCAATTAGACACGGTGCATTTGGACACGCAAGAAAATGCGCACCGTTCATTTAGACACCGTTCAAATGCGCA